ACTCTTTCCAGAGTCTCAACATCTTTTTTGTATTGTGGTAACCAGAACTGGATGCAGTATTCCAAGTGTGGTCTTACTAAGGCTTTGTACTAGAACTTCAAGTGAGCTTAATTCTATCCCTTTGTTAACGCAGCTTAGCATTTCATTGGCTTTTTTGGCTGCCTCTGTACACTGTTGACTCATATTTATGTGATTGTCCACTAGGACTCCCAAGATCCCGCTCACAGTTAACTGGCATTAAGCCAGGTTTCACCTAGTCTGTACCTATACAGTTGGTTTTTCTTGCCTAAGTGTAAAACCTTACTTTTAGCTACGTTGAATTTCATTTTGTTAGATAGGGCCCATTGTTCAAGTCTGTGAAGATCTTTTTGGATCCTGAGCTTGTCTTCTGGGGTGTTGGCTATTCTTGCCAGCTTAGTGTCATCTGCAAATTTGATGAGTTCCCCTTCTATTCAGTCATCTAAGTCTAATAAGATATTGAAGAGTAGTGGGCCTAAGACAGAACCTTGTGGTACAACACTGCTTACTACCCTCTGTGTAGATGTAGTACCATTAAGGACTACACATTGAGTACAATTTGTCAGCCAGTTACAAACCCATCTGGTGGTGGTGCTGTCTATCCCACATTTTTCTAGCTTGCCAAGAAGTTGGCTGTGGTCTACTTTATCAAATGCTTTACTGAAATCTAAATATACCAGTGATGGCGAACCTTTTAGAGACCGAGTGCCCAAAAACTGGCCCCACCCTCGCTCCACCTCCCTGCCCGCCCCCGCTCTGCCCCCCATCCCCCACCCTGCCTGCCCACAGGACCATTCACCGCCTCCAGGGCCCGCCGCAGATCACCCAAGCAGCCCAGCAGCACTATGGCGGCCACACCCTCTGCCCGCGCCCTGCAGCATCAACTGCATGATGGGGTGTGAGGGCAGAGTCTTGTCTACGCTGCCTGGCTGCCATGTCCTTGGCTGCGCTGCTCCGTGTGTGCCACGCTCGAGGGCGAGTCTCCTTCAGGGGGGCTGCTGGAGAGGAGGGGGTCATGGGGGGAGGCAAGTCTGGGGCAACGGTATGTGTGCCCACAAAGAGGGCTCCGAGTGCCACCTCTGGCACCCGTGCCATAGGTTCGCCACCACTGAAATATACTATGTACACAGCATTTCATTGATAAAATTTTGTCACTTTGTTGAAGAATGAAATAAGATTTCTTTTGCATGATCTGTTTTTGACGAACCCATGTTGGCTTCTGGTTATAACTTTGTTTGCTTCTAGGTGTTGCAGATTTGTTGCTTGAGTATCTTTTCCAAGATCCTCCCAGGTATTGATGTCAGGCTGATTGGTCTGTAATTTCCCGTATCTGGGTTTTTTTCCTTTTCTGAAGATGGGAACCACATCAGCTCTCTTCCAGTCCTCAGGAGTTCCCTGGTGCTTCAAGAACTTTGAAAGATATGTTTTAATGGTTCTGAAATCACATCTGCCAGCTCCTTCAGAACTCTGGGATGTAGTCTCTTAGGACACGGTGATTGAATCTGTCTAGAGCTGACAGGTGTTCTCTTACCTTATTTTTGCATATTTTAATTTGCATTCCTAACTATTTTTAACGTTTGATTCTAAAGTTTTCAACTTAACATACTATCAAGAGAATATGGATGAAGATCAGGAAAAAATCCTTTCCATGTTGAAATCGATACACGAAACTATCCTTTCAGCTTGTGATAAAATAAGAAGCAACACAAAGGAACAATGTTCTAGCTTAAATATACAAACCCAGATCTTGATTACAAGCAAAGAAGTAACAACGCAGAAAACAAAAGGAAAATTGGAACAACTAAACACTAAGACAGAGGACCCAACTGACCAACAGACCCAGCCAACTGAAAAATCAGAAAATGGAGTGACAACATTGAAAGTGGAAAAGACTTTTCACAAATCAAGAAATCAGAATATATTTGAGGAAAAGGAAGAAGAACAGATAGAATGGAAGATAAAGTTATCAGGACAATTATGGGAAATTGGAGTAACAGGGAGGCAGTTTAATGAATACCAATGGGCTTGTTCTTCCAAAAAAAACTTCAACCAAATGGTCTTTCTTATTCCAAATATATATATATAAAAATAGAGGGAGAACTATTTGATGATTCAAAGGCACTGACATGGAAGGTTAGCTGGCAAAGGAAGAAAGCCAGAGTAAGACTGAAGAAAATAATGGCTTTGACTTATTAGAGGGGATATTATATTACTAATTAGATGGTTGAATATGGTGGAAAATAGATAACTTTTAGAAAATAGAGTAACATAATTAAACAGGTAAGATGTATAACTAGACTATTAGACTTTGGTATGAAAAGGGAAAAAGGGAGAAGTTGAGATAAGGGAAACTTTTGGTCACCTAAACATAAAGTACTTGAAAATCATAAATAATAGTGTTTTCTTGAATATTGATGGGAAATTAAAGTTTGGTGGGGGAAGCAATAATAGGACATTGTTTATATAAGGATATTAAGTGCAAACTCAATTAACATATGTATAGGTTAAAAAGTATTGATAAATGTAACAAGGATGTTTCTACTTAGTTGAAAATAAGAATTCTGTTTGCCCAATATGAGATAACAGATATTATTGGAAAGAGAAAGGGAGTATTTGATGTTCTAATATTAGACTTAAACTAAAAAAATATGTATATTACTGAACTATTGGTTAACCCAGACAACACATATAATGGTTTTGACTTATTAGAGGGGATACTGTATTATTAATTAGATGGTTTAACATGGTGGAAAATAGATAACTTTTAAAAAACAGAGCAATACTATAATCAAATAGATAAGATGTGTAACTAGAACATTAGACTTGGCTATGAAAAGGGAAAAAGGGAGAAGTTGAGATAAGGGAAACTTTGATCACCTAAATATAAAATACTTGGAAATCATAAATAATAATGTTAATTTGAATATTGATGGGAAATTAAAGCCTGAAAAAAGCAATAACGGGACATTGATTGTATACAAGGATTAAGTGCAAATGCAATTAAGATGTGTATAAGCTAAAATTATTTATAACTGTAACAAAGATGTTTTTATTTAGTTGATAATAATAAGAACTGTACTAGCCCCATATGAGATAGCAGATATTAATGGAAAAAGAGAGGAAATATTTGATGTTGTAACATGAGATTTATACTAAAGACTTATGTACGCTATTGAACTATTGATCAACCCAGTCATCACGGTGCTTTTTAAATATTCAATTGTAAAATGAGAAAATCAATAAAATATTATATATAAAAAAGAACCCATGGAAGAGGAAGGGGGCCAAGGTGGAGGGGTGGGTGATGGAGGAGATGATCAGGCTGAGCCCGAGGGAGGGGTCAAACGCATCACCAGACTCAAGTCCCTTCACGCCCGCAAGAGATCTAATTCAAGCCCACCTTGATTTCCATTTATTCTTATCTACCGCCAATTTGCTTTGCCCGTTAGTACTTCAGATTTTTGTAGAGAGCTTAAGCTTGTAATAAACCTTTATATTCATTTGAAGTTCCTGGATTTCCCGATTTCCCCGGCGCTTGACAGAGTCCTCTGTAACTTGAAGGCTTTTGGAGCAGGGGCAGGAAGAATAAACAGACAAAAAACATTTTAAAGCCATTGTCCAATAGATTTGTTTTGTATTATGTGATAACAGGAGGATTTGATCTTGATACAAAAGTTGTCTAAAGACCTGCAATCTATCAAATACAGTTTACCATAGCTATCATGTATACAGTATATAATCTTCTTTAATTTGAAGCTACTTTAGATTTACAAAAGAGAAACTCCCACTTAACATGTAGCTTGATTGCTCTCTGTTAGAATGCTGAGTAGTGTTATAACAGGGGTGTCAAACTCGCAACGTCACGTGACATGTCGCGATATATTGTGACTTTTTTGCCATTGCCAGCAATGGGGTGGGCGCGGTTTCGCTATGATGCATCTGGCCTGCGGGCCGGCAGTTTGACACCCCTGTGTTATAAGATCAATCTTTGAGAAATGTAAAAATGTCTCATTCAGGTTTTGTAGTATTAGTATTTAGTGTACATCATCTTAACATTTGTTGTTACAGCACATTGTTTCTTTCTCTGTGTACATACACATGCACACATACACTGTAAATGATTAATGGGCCCCCCAAACATTATATAAGTAAAGATTTGGTACAGGTAGTCCTTGAGATACAACTGTAATGCAGCCTGCCCATTATGGACACATGTGATGGCTGTTAAGCAAAATGGCCTTGCTTAATGACCCCACCCCCTGCTCTCCCTGATGTAGCTGTTAAACGTACACAGGGGTCATCAAATAGAGTACAGGGTGCCTCAGGTGGGGGAGGCCCTGGGAAAGTCACCTGTCCCAGGTCTTACAAGGCTATCCCCACCCCCTGCGGCAGCCCATGTTCCGCTTTTCAGGGTCCCTGCAGTCCTTCAGCTTCCTTCCCACCCAGCGATCAAGGGGAGATCAGGCCAGATGGAGCTTGCAAGCCTCCAGCTTCCTTCCCACCCAATGACTTGCAGGACTCAGCCTGCTCTAAGGCCCAACAACACCCAACTTACTTTTCTGTTTTTTGCAGCTTCTGAAAGAGGTACTCAGCCAGGATCAGCTTTCTTACAGACCCAGCCTCCTGGCAAACAAAAAAGAAAAGTTTTTGCTCTTAACACTTTCAATATGAGTATTTTATTTTTCCTTTCCCAGTCCTCCATATTATAACTATACATTCTAGCATGTGATTAATGCTAGAATGGATCTCTTCTTTAATGACTTTTTCAGAGCAAGAATTTTAAATCATGCAGCACAGTGAAGATAAACTTGCTAACTAGTAGGAAAAAAACTAACAAAGAATCTTGCAGGAGAAAAGGGAGGATAGGTACAAAGAAACAAAATACAATGAATGAAATGTAATGGTAAATTTTATTCTTGGTATAGTCTGAAGGAGAATTTGGCCTGGCAAAATGCAACCGTCTTTTTCCTTTTCCCATTTAGGGACTGGTATTACTTGGTGAGATGCCTCCTTCTGACCATGTATTAGGTGATTCAACCCATAGTCTTAGTGTCGACTTCAAGCTGGAGCCTGGAATTGACAGACTGGTATGTATTAAGAGTGGAGAGAGCATTCCTTGGAGTACTATTTCTTTCATTACCCCTCTCCTTCCCTGTTGACATTATATTGCTGTATTTTGTTTTACTGATTACCTTGTTTCTAGACTAGACTTCTATATATGTATTTCATAGTTGTTTGGGGGTAAAAGACTGTCCTGTTGCTGTTTTTTTTTTTCCTTTCTTTTTTTTGTAAGAGTTTTATTGATTTTTTTACAATAACAACCTTAGTGCCTAGTGTACAGCGTGTTGTCTTGGTTCATGATTTTTTTAAAAAAAATATACAATCAATAATAGTTAATTAACAGTCAATAATAATTAATTTTTATATTTCCATAATTAGTATATCAATTGATATTTCCTTGATCCTCTCTTCTCCCAATAGTATTCTCCTTCAGCATTTAACAAATATAATTTTTGATATTTGATATTTTCCATATATAAATGATTAAATAAAAACATTTTCTTCTATATTTATACCAACAATAATAGCGTCCATATATAGCATTTTTTTCTTATCAACTTATGTTATTTTCGTAAAAGTCATCTTATTGATTCACCATATATCTTATTTTCATAAATCTTGTTTAAGCTCAATTTCTCCATAATATTCAAACTATTTTTATCAATCATAATTTTCTCAGTAATTAACATCTAAATATAAAAATTTTCCACTTAGATATATCATCCCAGTATTTTCATATTTCATATATTATAGAAATACTATACTACTTATCTATCATAACATCTACCTATAACATCTTTTCTAATCAATTTATATTTCACTTCTATTTGTAAAAATTGATTGAATCACTATATATCCTTTTTTCAAAGCCTAATTTCCCCTCAATATTTCAATCATTCCTTAATCCTAAATCTTTTCAAATTTAATTTGTCTTTAAAGTTCAAACTTTTCCTTCACTTTCATCATCCCAATATTTTTACATTTTGTATCTTATCAAAAAATACTATATTACTTATATCTCTTATCCCACTTATTCTAAAGCCCCTTTATAGCCAAAGTTATTTGTTTGCTCATATAATACTCCATCTGGTAGGGCGAGTCAAGTCTCTTAAGCCCGTCTCTAATCTTCTTCCTTTGCCAAATTGTTTTCCAAATTAATATTTTCGACTTGTCAAACAGTTCTTGTATTTTTGTAGTTGTTAGGTGTAGAGGATACATAATACGTAAGGTGTATACTTTTTGTCTCCCAAACAGTGATTCTCCTAGCAGTGTCCATTTTGTTAAATCTTCTTTCTTCTCAGGTTTATTTTGACGTTCTAATGCATAATGTATCTTTTCCATATTTATTGTTGTATCCAAATCTTGTGAGTTTTTTCTTGTTTGTATTAAATTATAATTCCCTTCATTTGTAACTTCGCCAATTAAGTCATTTTTTTCTAGTTCACATTCTGTTATCTGATTTGTTTGTTCATTCTTTACCATCATTCTTTGAATGTTTTTTGATTGTAAATTTAAGTTACAAGTGTATTCCTTTATGTTATCGAAGTTATGTTTAATCTCCTCGTGGTTTAGAGCTATTGTGATTTGTATCTGTCGTAGCATTGCATAAATTTCTTCTTGGAAAGTATTTGTCTTGTTTTGAAATGTTGCTTCTAGAGGTCTTTGATCTTTCCGGCTGAATCCTTCAAGAGTAGATATTAAGTGTGGTTTTCTATCATTTTTTGATGAATATGTCATATCCATGTTATCTCCCCCTTTCAAGTAATCCATCATAAGTGCCATAGTCTCTGTAATTAGCCTTGTCAAGCTGGCCAGAACTCAAAATCCAATTTTGTATAGTTCTTGTCTTTATATATAATTTTTATAATCCACTGTAATTTTCAATTGTCAAGGTTTCAGTAAAATCAATGTTTTATAACAGTTCTTTCAGGAGTCAATTGTCAACCAGTCAGAATTGCAATTCAATATATTTAGACAGCTTAAACCCTTCCTGTAACTTTCCCTCTCAAAGATTAGTCATAGATCAAAGTTTTTAAACAGTTCATAAATTTAGACCACAATCAAAATATTTCTTTTCCTTCAAACACTTTCCAATCTTATAGCTGGCCCAGTATACAATCTCTTCTTTGTTCACTAGCAACTATCTTCTTAAAGGTTATTAGAGTTCATGGGAACAGATTTTTTTTTGTTTCTGGGTGTTGTCTTTAATGTGCTATATACTAATTGTCCACTAGATGTGAGCAAATATTTGTTTTCCAGCTCTTTCAGACAAGAAGTTCTTATTATTTTTCTTTTTATATATATAATTTCATCAAAATCCTTTAGAATATAATCTTAGCAGTTTGTTTTAGTTTCTAAGTTTGATGAGATTGTAGTATTTTAAATTTAATTCCAATATATTTCTTTCCTCCTTAAAGGTTAATTCGCTGCTTCCGTCTATGGGGGAATGGGAATGCAGTCCCCTCCCCTCACTTTTGGAGGTTTTTTGCTTTGGGGATCTTTCCCAGGGACTTAGTTGCAAAATAAGGGAGAGAAGATCAAATACTCTCACCAATTCCAAGCACGCTGTTGACAGTTGTTCTGGTTAGTGCTCTTGGACTTCGGCTGCAGGTAGCTTGGGCTAGACCAGTGATGGCGAACCTTTTAGAGACCAAGTGCCCAAACTGCAACCCAAACCCGACTTATTTATCGTCGGGTGCCAGATGGGCGTGGCCCACTGGGTGGGCGTGGCCCGCTGGGTGGGCGTGGCCCGCTGGGTGGGCGTGGCCCGCTGGGTGGGCGTGGCTGGCATGGGCGTGGCCAGCTCGATGTCACTCGTGTCAGGGGCACTTGTGTGGGCCTGGGCAGGACTGGGGCAGATCTGAGGGTCTCCGGCGGAGGGGGGGTGGGACCGGGGTGAGCGCAGGGCCGTGGTCCACTGGAGGAGCCTCACTGAGCCTCAGGCAATGCAGGGGGCCCCTGGACTGTGGCATGGACTGCCTGGAGCCCTGGGCAGCGGAGGTCAAGCGCCCAGCCTGGCCCTTGAGCTCCCACGGCACCAGGACCCCACAGCCCTGCCTACCCTAGCCGCACTTCCCTGAGGGGGTGCCCAGCTGCGTTTACCTCCTCCTCAAGGATACTGCTTCTGTGCTCGCTCTCCTTGGCCAGGTTGCTCATGGTGGGTGCAGGAGGGCAAAGTGCGTGGGTCAGAGGGAGGCCCACTCCCTCTCCATGCGAGGAGACCTGGCTTTGTAACCAAAGCATCCTCAGCAATAGGATGGGAGACCACCAGGGGATGGCAAAAGGGCCACAGGGCTGCTGGTGGCCAAGTACTAAGGCAGGACTTCCAATCTCCCTCCCTTCCTTCCTTCCTTTCTCCCTCCCTCCCTCCCTCCCTCCCTCCCCTCCGTCCCTGCCTCCCTCCTTTTCATTCCCATCTCCTCCCTCCCTCCCTCCGTCCCCTCCTTCCTCTCTCTCTCTCCTCTCTCTCTCTTTCTCCCCCTTTCTCCAAAGTACAAACACGTGTGTGCTACTTCCCTCGCTCGCCCTGTTCACACCGCGCATGCCCACAGAAAAGGCTCTGTGATAGAGGATTAAACAGCTGGTGATTTTGGGCCAGTCATTCTCTCTCAGCCCAATCCACCTCCCAGGTGTGTTGTGAGGAAAATAGGAGGAGAAAGGTATGTTGGATATGTTCATTGCCTTGAGCTATTTGTAAAAATAGTAGTTTGGGAAGGCGAGTATAGGACGCGCGAGTTTGGAGTTTAGGAAGGTGAGCGAGGAAAGTAGGACATGCGAGTTTGGAGTTTGGGAAGGCGAGCTTAGGACGCGCATCCTACTTTCCTCGCTCGCCTTCCCAAACTTCAAACTCGCGCGTCTTACGCTCGCCTTCCCAAACTCGCGCATCCTTCTTCCCTTGCTTGCCTTCTCCAACTGCAAACTTGTGCATCCTACTTTCCTCGCTCACCTTCCCAAACTCCAAACTCACGTGTCCTACTTTCCTCGCTCGCCCGTCTGCAACCGTCACTTCCAAAGGTCGTGCTCTCTCTCGCTTGCTTGCTTGTTTGCTTGCTTACTACACTTCTCCCGCCAAAACCTGCTTTTATAGGTTCCCATCTTCCCGCCCAGCTCTCGCAGCTGTTCCCGGACTCCCAGTACAGAGAGAGAAAGAGAGCAAGAGCGCTGCTGGGTTTGGTTTCCCTACCTTCTCCAGCTCCCATTAGTCAGGCGTGTGTGAAGAGGGGGAGGGGAGCATCCTTCTTGGGCAATGGCACATGTGCCCATAGAAAGGCCTCTGCGTGCCACCTCTGGCACGCATGCCATAGGTTCGCCACCACGGGGCTAGACACTGGAATGCAGCTAGCCTTTCTCCTGTCGGGTTCGGAGGGCTTCCCCCCGATCAAATGAAGCGATTGCCGTCGCTTTGTGATCAACGGGGCACCCCTCCTTCACGGTCACCTCTTCGGGGCGACTTCGGACCCATCTAGGGTCCCCCTGGCAGGACGAAACTAGCCGTGGGGAGCGGAGGTCTGCTCTTGCGCGGCCATGCGCTACAGGCGCAAAACCAGAAGTCCTGTTGCTGTTTTTTCTTTTGCCCTAGTATTTGGAGAATTCCCAGTTTAATACATTAGGGCACGGGTGTCAAACCCGCAACGTCATGTGATGTGTCGCGACGTATCATGACTTTTTTTCCATTGCGAGCAGTGGGGTGGGTGCGGTTTCGCCATGACGCATCCAGCCTGTGGGCCGGCAGTTTGACACCCCTGCATTAGGGAATAGCATTCTGCCCTGCAGATGCTCCCAGAATCACCTTATTACCTAAATTGGCATCCACAAAGACATTTTTCCAGGATGGCATATTACTGCAGGCAACAGATTGATACTTTATTAGAAGTTGGGATGCAGTTTCAAAATTCCTGAGCACTAGAATAAAATATTTAATTTTTATTTTAAATTTTTTAAAAAATTCTGCCAAAATTTAATACTGGCTTTCAACTTTTTATTTTTTTTTTAAATCAAGACATTGTGAAACAAATATCAAATATAAGAAAAAACAGACAAAGTTAATTTAAAAAGTGGTTGAATAAGGAAAACACCAGACTTAGGGTTGACAGCAACTGTAGTAAATGATTGTGGGAGGGATGAGATTCAGTTGTTCACCTGTTTTTCTGGAGGAACACAGGTGAATGCACTCCAAATTGGGTATTACCCAATCCCAGATTGGTTCTGATTCAAGGGGCATCAGATGCTTTTGATCAGTCTATGGGCCGAAATATCAACATTCTTCGGTTCTGGCAGCCAGGGTTTACTCATAGATGACTAGGTAATGGAGAGTTTTCTATCCATAACTTGGCATATCTTAGGAATGCTTAGCACTTATTCACAGTTTTTAAAGGAATGATTATATTTGCTTGGCATATAAAAGATCTCAAGTTCAGTCATGGTTTTTTTGGTAACAGACATTTACTTAAAACCATGAACAATAAATAAATATTAACATACTGAGTAAAATAAACAAGTGTCAGATAAAGGTAATCAGCAATTGTCCATTGGCCTGATTCTGTAAAGTTTCACAATTGCTTACCCAAAGAGACTGTTTCAGGTGGCATCTGATTAGGCAGGTTTCACCATTGCAATCGTGTTAAACAACTGTCATAGAAGCAGAAAGCTGCTTGACTAGTTGAGTTGTCCATTTGATCAGAACCATACAGTGACAGGCAGTGTCTTCCTAGACTTTTGGATAAGAGTTTTCTTAGTTTTACCTGGGTATGTAACTTGAATGTGTACAAAAAAAACTCTTCTAAGACCTTTTGTTTAGAGCAGAGTGGGCAACTCAAACATTGCTAATTTTTCATGCCTCTGATCAGAAATTATTGCATGTTAATTGCCATTTGAATTATAAATACTACAGATGCAGAATACACACAGGGGAGGCTGTAAACTTGTATTTGGTAATAGAGCCAGATGAAATCTATTACTTCATGAATCATACAGTGGTGGCCTTGAGTCTATATTTGAAACATCTTGAGATATCAGCTGTGATATTCCAGGGTATAAAGGCTTGCCAATTGCCTGCTCTCCTTGTCTGCAGTTTAAGAAAACTGTGCAGTGGGCAGGATTGCTTTGCTTAAAATTATGTCTCCACCCCATCCCTTTTACCTTTGGTCCCATAATTTGATTCACTGCTGGCAATATTGCCATAAAACAGCGGTTCTCAACCTATGGGTCGGGACCCCATTTGGGGTCAATCGACCATTTCACGGGGGTCGCCAAGCAAGGCTGTCCGCCATTTTTTTTGTCCACCATTTTTTCCCCCTTTTCCGGCGGGTGCCTTACCTCCCTTGGGTTGGGCCAGCTGGTGGTCGGCCTGCTCCGTCTCTGCCGCTTGCCAGCTACGCCTCGGCCGGCGCAGGGGGCGGAACCACGCATGCGCGGCACTCCTGGGCAGGGAAAGTCCTCGACTTACGACCGGTTGGGTAGTCCTCGACTTACGACCGGTTTAGTCCTCGACTTACGACCGGTTTAGTCCTCGACTTACGACCGGTTTAGTCCTCGACTTACGACCGGTTGGGGGTCGCGGCATTAAAAAGGTTGAGAACCACTGCCATAAAAGATAAAGCTGTCTCAAGGAATTCAAAATTTTGTTTTTGTGCCTTGCATTTGCAAAGCATCTAAATAGTATTGGCCGGGTATAACATACTGTGCATGAAATAACAGCAGATCCACTTCATAGGGGACTAGGTTGCTAGATTGCATGTGGTTTTTCTGCTCCTCAGAAAACATTTTTAAGTTTTTTTCTCATCTTAAGTTGTCCTGGATTTCTTTTTGTAAAAGCTTTCAAAACATATACCCAGCTGACATGCATTTTTGTCTTTCTATTCATGTTCATGTGTTTCCTCTTTGTCCATAAATGTGTACAGTATTGGTCTATCAGGTTCTTACATTTTTCTTCATATGTTAAAGCAGACTGTAATTGGTAAACAGCTTGTGATACATGCATTCATCTTTAAAATCCCACTCAATTCTTTGTTATGTGCAAAAACTAATATGACTGCTCTTTTCTTTGGTCCATTTAAACTCTCCCCTTTAAAAATGCTCTTTGGGGGAAAGGTTAAAATCCTCCCTTAAAACCCTGGCCTTCCTTCAGTATATTCATTTTGAGTTTACAAATGACCTTGTCACAGACTTGTAATAGTAACATAGAGTTAAAGGTAAAGCTATAACACTGAATCAGGAATGTGTAAACCTTTGCTTTATTTCATATAGCCTTTCTAATATGATTGAGAAAGGTCCGATAATAATTATGAAACACTAAACTTTGGGGCAGGGGTCTTCAAACTTGGCCCTTTTATGGCTTGTGGACTTCAACTCCCAGAATTCCTCAGCCAGCGTGCTTGGATGAGGAATTCTGGGAGTTGAAGTCCACAAGTCATAAAAGGGCCAAGTTTGAAGACCCCTGCTTTGGGGTGTAAATGTAAACATACAACATGTAAAAAAGATGATAAGGGCAGGGCTTTTCAACCTTTTCACCCATTGTACCACTTTTAGGATATGGCAACATCCGAGTACCACCAGTCGCCTAGCAAGGTGTCAAAAACTTGATGACCCCCCCCAAAAAAGGAAAAAAAGTGATAAAGTACAGGTAGTCCTCGACTTACAACAGTTCGCTTAGTGACTGTTCGAAGTTACAATGGCACTGAAAAAGTGCCCCCCAAGCCACAGCCGAGCAAGACACCTGCCTGCCCACCTGGCGGTGCTCTTCCTCCTGTCTGAGGTTTTCATTGTTGTGAGCATTTCTGTTGAGGATTGGCGGTGGGGTGGGGGGTGTTTGGTTTTTATTCCCATCTGCTGGGTGGTTACAGCAGGTTTTGGTCACTTCACATAACCCTGTGTTCTATCCCAGCCTATTGCCGTCCTTGTTAGAGGCACAAGGACCAAACCCCTGCTGATACAATAGGCTGGAGACTTTAAAACAAAACAAAATCCCTTTTATTTGGGTGACAAACCTGTCAATAAGTCCAAAACACAAACAGCAAAACTCAAGTCCAAAGGAAGGAAATAGTCCACAGGAACACGTTGCAAACAANGACTCATGCTCCTCACACAGCTGAGCTTCATCAGAAACACGACTGGAGGGGCCAGGCTCTTCATCAAGCCGTGAGTCCTGTAATTCATCAGAGCCTCCCTCTGACCCTGACGGCCCCTCAAAGGCCTCCTCCACCTCCTCCTCCTCAGATTCCTCAGACTCAGCTGTTGGGAACACAGGCTGGCACGGAATCACAACACCCTGGGACACTGTGACTGTCATAAATATGAATCAGTTGCCAAGCATCTGAATGTAAATCACAAGACCCTGGAGAGGCTGCAACATTCCAGCTGATTGGCGCTTCTTCTGGGCTCAGCAGAAGCACCAGGATCAGCGCTGAGCTCCAGCTGGAGCCTGGTGCTGATCCTGGCGCTTCCGCTGAGCCCTGACAGCCCTGCAGCTCCAGCCATCTCACTCAGGCTTGTGCGGTGCTGCCACCAGTTCAGCTCATTCCCCTCCCCCGCTACCACTTTTCTAGGATGGTCACGTACCACCTGCCAGGTGCCAATGTACCACAGGTGGTACCCGTACCACTGGTTGAAAGCCCTGGATTAGGGGACTGGAGGCACCATATAAAGAACGGTTGCTGGAATTGGGTATGTCTAATTTAATGAAGAGAAGGACTAGGGGTGACATGATAGCAGTGTTCCAATATCTAAGAGGTTGCCATAAAGAAGAGGGAGTCAACCTATTCTCCAAAGCACCTGAAGGCAGCAATGGATGGAAACTAATCAAGCAGAGAAGGAGCCTAGAACTAAGAAGTTTCCTGACAGTTAGAACAATTAATCAGTGGAACAACTTGCCTCCAGATGTTGTGAATGCTCCAACACTGGAAGTTTTTGAGATTGGACAACCATTTGTCTGAAATGGTATAGGGTTTCCTGCCTAAGCAGGGGGTTGGACTAGAAGACCTCCAAGGTCCCTTCTAACTTATTCTGAATATAGAGTCTCAGAATCAAGTTTAGTTGGCTATTTTGGAAATGTACAAGATACGTTTGTGTTGCTTGGGTATTGCTGTGTGCATTTGTATATTTCAAGGTTTTCTACAGGAAGGGGTCTCCACTAATGGAAACTGCCTTCCATATGAAAATGATGGATAATCAAACTTTAAAAAGAAACTGCCCTGCTCATCATTAAAGTAGTTCCAGGTTTGGAAAACTGTTTTAAAGTCTGTGAAGATGCAGAAAATGCTGTTTCTTTGTTTCTGACTTAATGGATCTTTGAAATCATCTCCATGTTCCAGCCCATTGTACTGTTTGTTGTTGAGTATAACAGTTATCACACAGTTCATATTCTCAAATACTCTGATTCACAAATACTGTGGGTGATTGTTAGAGCTTGCCATGTTAAAGAAAAGCCATTTACCATAGATTTGTATAATTTTAACAAGGATTTTTTTTCTCCCCACCCCCACCCCTCCATTTCTTGTACAGGGCACTTACATCTCCCAGCCATCAGAGAAACTTTGTATATCCATTAGTAATACCCAAGAGAGTCTACCTGCTAAAACCTATAGAGTGCCAAGACCATTCAACGGAGTCATTAACACGTAAGGTTCTTGCTAAATCTCTCCTTAATAAAATATAACTTTAAGAAAGGTACTTCTGAAAGGCCACTCTTGAAGGTACATTGGAGATAGAAAGTCTACACACCCATGTTAAAATGCCAGGTTTTTGAGATGTTAAAAAAATCAGACCAAGATAAATCACTTCAGACTTCTTTGCACCTTTAATACAACATACCAGCTGCACAATTCAATTAAAAACAAACTGAAATCTTTTAAGGGGCAAAATATCAATGAAAATGTACACTAACATTACATAAGTGTGTACACCCTTAAATACTTTGTGGAAGCACCTTTTGATTTTATGACAGCATTCAGTCTTCTGGGGTAGGAGCCTATCAGCATGGCACATCTTGCCTTGGGAATCTTTGCCCGCTCTTCCTTGCAAAAGTGCTCCAAATCTGTCAGATTACAAGGGCATCTCCTGTGCACAGCCCTCTTTGGGTCACCACACGGATTTTCAGTTGGATTTAGGTCTGGGCTCTGGCTGGGCCATTCCAAAACGTTGATCTTCTTCTGGTGAAGCCATTCTTCTGTTGATTGGGATGAATGCTTTGGGCTGTTGTGTTGAAGGGTGAAATTCCTCTTCATCTGCAGCATTTTAGCAGAGGCCTGAAGGTTTTGTGCCCAAATTGACTGATATTTGATACTGTTCCTAATTCTCTCCACCTTGACTAAAGCCCCAGTTCCAGCTGACAAAAAGCAGCCCCAAAGCATAATGCTGCTGCCACCACCATGCTTCACTGTGAGTATGGTGTACTTTTGGTGGTGCACAGTGTTGTTTTTGCACCAAACAAACCTTTTGGAATTATGGCCAAAAAGTCAGCCTTGGTCTCATCAGACCATAACACATTTTCCCACATGCTTTTGTCAGACGTATTGTAGGCTTTTGCAAAATTCTTCTTTTCTAAAAGTCTTATAAATAAATAAACTGGAGAAGTGTGAAAAGTTCTGAGTGGAAGTGAGTCAAAGGGTCTTCCTCAGCCTGATGTTCTCTAAATGTATTAGGATATAACTCCCAGCATGGATGAGGAAGTTGGCTCTGGAAGCTAGATACCAGCTAATCTGGAGAATGCATTGGATTGACAAAGACCTAAAGTAAAAAGGTGATGGAAAGTTGACAGGATAAATCTAGTGGAAATTTGGAGCAGGCATTGTGTACAGAAAAATATGATAGGCTAATGATGAAAAAGTGTGGAAGAGAAAAATGTCAGCCTGAGAGACATGAGTAAGGACAAAGGAAAAACAGTAGCTGACATTTCCAAATAATGAAAAGCTAGAGAGCTGCTGACAGGTAACGTTTACCACAATCTATCCTAACCTGGTATCAAACAAGAATTTTGGGGGTACTGAGTTTAGTTTTGCATATTTTACTATATGCATGGATTTATTGGTTTGCCTGGACAAATGGGCTGCTGTTTTTAGGTAATGAAAATTTGGCTCCCATTAGTGTTAGAGAAGTAGAAATGTCTAATGTGCTGTATTTCCATTCTTGGACAGTCTACAGACAAGCTTGACAGAACATAGTCAGGGAGATGGCTCAGATGCTGAGGAGCTGTTGCAGAAAAAGCAGAGATTAAATGCGGTGTCTTCAGCTCTCAATGGAACCTGTGTGGCAGCCCGCACGCGCCCTGTCATCAGCTGCAAGAAACGGCGGCTTGTTCAACCCAACAGTCTGGTTCCACTATCCAAAAAGGTCTGTAAATTGATGTTAGGGCAGTAGAAAAATGGGGTGGGGGGATGTTGCAGCTGAGTTATATGACATAGCTAAGTAACAAATTGTTGGTCTTACATATTGATTTTTTGTCCCATATCATTATAAATTCTGCTTAGAGTCCCTCTGATATTCAAATAAAGTGGATTTATCAGTCCTTATGTCAGTGGAAGTTTTTTAGGCTGTCCCTGTTAAACAAATTTGGCATTGAGTAGGAAAAACTGAGAGAGAGCTACATTTTAAATCTTGATCATTTGACTGTAGAAATGGGCAGAGGAAAGTGGTTTCACTTCTTCCACTATGCATAATGTTTTGGGAGGTAAGAGTCACAATTTTAAACACTCTTTTAAGTTTAATTGCTGGACCAGTGGCATTCTTAAAAGAATAAAAAAGCATGTCTGTTGTAGAATACTGTAACTTAGGAAGGGATGTTGTACAGGTGCACTTAACAGAAAATATATCAAATCATTTTTAAGTACCTGACTCTTCTGTTTTTAAAAGAAATGATGGTTTCTATTAGGTAGCCATGTTGGTGCTTTTGAATGTGGGCACTTATAAATTACAAAATGTTTAAATGGCTACAATTCTCAGCATGCTGAATTCAGAATCAATTCCAAGTTTTATGTTTGTGTCAGTTGCAGGGTACAATTATCATTAGTATCTGTTTTTTAAAAAATATTTTTTGTTCTTTGCTCTCTCTCTTTCTCTCTCCCCCCCCCCCCCCCCCAATTTAAAAGTAGCCAATCTACAGTAAGTATTTAAGGAAGTATGCATTTTCAGCCAGACTGATCTGTTTCATTGGAACAGTCTGGCAGGCTAACAGCTTAGGGCAAATGTTGCATTGGCAGTCAACAAATTTAAGTTTGTATGCATAAATAGAAGACACAGTACACAGAGTGTATAACCAAAGTAACCAGAGTTTTAGATAATCATTCTAAATATATCAGTATTGAAGATCACATGTTGCAGTGCTCTCTCTCTGAATCAGAAAAAAGTGAAGACACTGTTTTCCAAGAAGATGAACATTTAAATATCTTAATATGGGATTATTGTATCATCATGGATATTGGAGAGGGTTTGTTTTCTTGTTTCTTTGTTTTAACTGGAACATTAGTAGGGTGAAGGACCAATGATGCATAATCATGTTTCAGTGGATACTTTGGAACTTGTAAATAGCAAATATTCTGTTATCTATCTAGACCCGCTCCAGTCGGGCTTCAGGCCGGGATACAGCACGGAAACGGCATTGGTCACACTGGTAAATGATCTCTGGAGGGCCCGGGACAGGGGCCATTCCTCTGTCCTAGTTCTTTTGGACCTCTCAGCGGCTTTTGATACTGTGGACCACGGTATCATGCTGCGGCGTCTGGTGGAGTTGGGAGTGGGAGG